AAAAAACATTGGACTTAGAAGTTAAATGTCAAAGTAATGTAAAACTAATAGGATTTACCTCAAAATTACAAAGAAAAATGCTAAATTTCTAGTATGGTCATAAATCTTTAAATTATGAATTACTTTTTAAATTACAATTAAATGTTGTGATTTTACATAAATCTGTACGTAATTTGAGAAAATGGGAAACATACAGTATAAATTAAACAGTATTTTTCCTTTTAAAAATGTGAAATACGTGTAATTTTTCATTACTGGCGTTATGCGTAAAATAAAGTTTGGTTTATTAATTCAGGGATAATTTCTGTAATTTTACAGAGTTTTGCAGACAGCTTTTAAAAAAGAGAAACTACTGTAAAAAATGACGGTTATTTTCTGTAAAATTGCAATTTTTTTTTACAGTGTACTCCTCGTTAAATATTCTTCACCGCTTTAGGCCTTTCCAGAGGGCAAACCTAACCAGATAAAGGGAAGCAACATACTCTATGACAGGGGTGGCCAATCTTATCCAGGAAGGGCCGCTGTGTGGCAGGTTTTTGCTGCAACTTCACTAATTAGAGGACTGATTGGCTGAAGAGTCCTACCACCTGTGTTTGAACAGCTGACCTACAGGTTATCCCAAAAACCTGCACACACACCGGCCCTTTGTGGATAAGATTGGCCACCCCTGGTCTAGCAGCAAACTCTAATTATGTCACAGCATAACCGCCATTTATGAAAATTACAATATACTCTGCATGCCTATAAAAATCACTCTCTGCAGACACTTGAAATGGGCATCAGTTTACACTGTGCATAAAACACCCTAAACCCACCCTGTCACAGCCTCCCCTACAACGTATTGACAGCAAAAGTTCACATACTTTTCCAACACACACATGTATGTACCATTGGATCATTTTCCTCAATAAATGAAGGAACAAATATTATGTTTTCTTGTCATTTGTTCAATTGGGCTGTATTTACCTAATTTTTGGATTTACTTGAAAATCTGACCTTATTTTGTATCATATTTATGTATAAGTAGAGAAAATTCTACAGGGTTCATAAACTTTTTAACGCCACGATATGTATGAATTTTCTTTAATTCCATTTTAATTGTACTTCCTTAGATTGAAATTCAAATTGCAATTCTGCATCCTGTTTTCAACCATAATTCCAATTCAGTTCAAATCCCTATCACAGCTTAGCTGAGAAGCTACTGGTGTCCTTCTACAGGTGCTCCATAGAAAGTGTGCTGACTTACTCCATTTTCATGTGATTTGCCAGTTGCACTGCAGGAGAAAAAACTGCCCTGCAGAGGGTCATTAACTCAGCTCAGAAAATCATTGGCTGTGCTCTCCTGTCCTTAGAGGAGCTAAACAGGTCCCGCTGCTACAAAAAAGCCAGCAGCATCCCGAAGGACACAACTCATCCAGCACAGCACCTGTTTGTTCAGCTGCTGTCCTCAGACCGGCAGTGCAGAGCATTAACAGCTGGTACAAACAGACTGAAAGACAGCACATATCCCAGGGCCGTCACTGTTATTAACAACAAACTGAAATGATCATCCAGTCTCTCACTGCGCAACTCTGTTACTCTGTGCAATATGCGCCTCCACTGTAAGGTATGTCTGTCTTCATATATACAATACCCCATCTCTATGTGCAATATGGACTACAGTGCAACTTCTTGCAACTGCCACAGTTCTGGCATAATGCACTGTAGATATATATGTATATTTATTTATTTTGTATTGAGAAATTTAGCTTTTTAATTAAAATTTTTAGTTGCCTATTAAATCATTTTGCAATGATAATAAAGATTCTGACTCTGAAATTAAATTGGAATTTAAGAGCTATTCTCAAATCAATTCTGAATGCCGCACAACCCTGGTAGTGAATAAAGAGTTGGAATATGAATGGATCGATATGTTTGACAATGAACATAATTAGGTAGCATGAGGCTATGACTCTTTAAAAGACCTTAACACATGCTAACTAAAGAATGGTTTCTAGGGGGATTTAAAGAGAAGCCCATGAGACTCAATGTTGAATTTGCCATTTGCACCTTACAGCACCATTACAAGCTGGTTAATTCTGATGGTATCTCTGGGGATAAAGCAGACCTGGGACCATTTGCTTATATACAGTACAGAGGGCGGTGTGGGGCTCACAGAGTTTGGACTCTGTGCCCATGATCAGAGTGTCGCCGGTCTGGGTCATGGGACCAGGAGACTGATGTTATTGTTGTGACCTTGAGCAAGGCTCCTTAACCTCCAACGGCTGGGACAGGCAAAAGGACCATTTCCTTACAGGGATGCATAAAGTGTCACTGTTCTATACAAGAAATAACTTTTAGAGATTATCCTGATAATCTGTGAGTCTTTATTCTTTCTACATTAGCAGTTAAACCAGTAGTAAAACAAACAAGCAAGCAAATAAATATGTTAGGTCTTTATTACTTTATCAATAGGATAAAAGATCACACTTATTTACAAAACGATTACAAAGCATCTATAGTTTACTATTTTTATGTATACTATTTATGTAGGCCTATGCTACACATTTGAAAAAATAAGGCTATTAAGATCAGGTTTTCCTAATGCTGATTTTAAAAAATCATATTTTTTAATTATTCATTTTAATTATCATACTCCATGTATGAATAAGTCTAAGGACTGTGCTTCTACTGAGAAACTGTAAATCTGATTTCAATAATACCCTAAACATCATTGGGTTTGGCCTTATTCATGTTCATTCTTCCTTATGAAACATAATAAAACAGGTCTTCTCAAAGAAAAAATTCCAAAATAGACTGTAAGTTTGCTTGTCTTCTTGCTTGCTGCCTGTTATTTCACATTGTTGGTTCCATCTTAAGGGAAATGTTAGGGAGAGCCCATATTCCTATACGAATACACGATTACAAAAATATGCATTCATGTTTATAAAGCTCAAATTACTGTTCATATGGTTACAGTGTTAATGGTGACTGCAGCATATAACAGACAAATTAACAGAACGTTACAATGGAGCTCAGTTATTGTACGAGTTTGTATCACCGTGATATGGGGTGGCACGATGATGCGGACTCGTACAAAAACCTTACTGTCATACTGAAGGTTACAGTATCGTTAATGCGAAATGGATGGACATCTGGTTGTGTTTCTACGACTTGCTATATTTAATTTTATTAGCGATTCTATGCCATTCGGTGGCAAGTACGTTTGATTGTTTAAGAGAACATTAATTTTTATTTATATTTTCCCCCGTAGATGTTTTACCACCAACTTTAATTGCATGCATGTTATTGTCCGGGTAGCGTAATGTAATGAATCACTGTGATACTGGGCTTTCGACTACTGGGGAAAAGGCACCAAAGTCGCTGTCACCAGCGGTAAGTCCGCTCCGTCTCACCGTGCCTTGATAATCCATTTTAAATATGTTTCATTTTCTGTGTTTATTTTTATATAGAAGGATCCGAGTAATTACTTTTCTTTGTCTATAGTTGGCTAGACATAAAGTCCCACAAACTGTCTTTGTGTTTCTTTTAGTGTTTGCGGTCAAACGTGCAAAGTCTATAATATATATTTTCGGAAAATGAGCGCAACAAATACATCATTAATTTTAACCCTGTACAGTTTCAAATAGATCGAGTAATAACGGGTCTGATTTCTGCGCTCCTACGTCGATACTAACGTATGTCTGATGTAGCCTGTAATAAGATGATTTTTAATAGTAGGTTTAGTTTTTAGCTAAATCATATTTGCAATCGCACTGTTTTAAAATCAAACTATAACTATACGATAATTTAGAATACAGGGGTAATGAGTGTACGGACTGGATTCTATTTCTCAAGTTCTCTCAGAGTAAAGTTTAATCTAAAGAGAAAATTACACAGAAAACGATAAGGATTAAGACTGACTTTTGATTAAATAAAATTAAAACTACATTTGATTTAAACTGAAAAGATCATGTAAAACATTTAACGAAGAAATATTTGCCTGATTTAATTAGAAGAACATTAATTCAATTAAGCGTGCTTTATTTACAGTTCACGTTGGTAAACACGACAGAAACTGGTTACTCTTCCTTTAATAAAGAAGATTCTGGTTCCAGCGACTTCTGAAGTTAATTATTACTCTTACCACTTAATCTTGTTATTTATTTATTCCTGCCATTCAGCTCGCCATATTCTTATTTTGCACCAGTTCATGGAAGGCTTGAGTTTTGATGGTGGTATATCAAGAATATCCGTCGCTATCTGCCTGCCCATTAATTAACATTTATTAACCTATACACCACTATGACCTACAGTTGCTGACGATCAACGATTGTTCATTTAGTTGCATGTTTGTAATTGTCAGACGGTCCGTTTTTAAAGGTGCCAAAATGAGCGTAACATATTTTGATGTGTATTTTAAATTACCGTTTAAAATGAATCCAATAACAGTGTGTCCAACAGGTCTGATTTATGCGCTCCTTTTTCAGTACTTACATTGCCCCCGATGTACGTTTTTATACACTGTTTAGTTACACTTTTAACTCACGCCGATTTAACGTTAGCAGAGAAACCCTAACTACAGTTCATCACATTCATTTGGTAAAAAAAAAACAGCGTTCGGGGAAGGATTATATTTTTTCCCAGTTCCCTTCGGAAAAGAGGTTTAAAACTATCTAGCCGAAAAATACGTGTAAATTATTTATTTTCTCGAGGAATGAAAGTACCGTAAGTCCGATATTTCAAAAGTAGACTCATTTTAACTTTAAAATTAATCCCTTCGCAGTTTGCGAACCTTTAATTAGTATTTTAATAATGCGATTGAAAGAAGTCTGTTGAACTAAACAAAAGCTAGCAAAATGACGTTTTGGCAAAAACTGCTTACTGGATAGATCGTTGCCATGTGTCAGCCACTCTTCAGTGTGTTTCTGTGAGTAGTTTACATATTAATTTATAAAATTCGTATGACCTGATCTCGTGTTTGTGTTTTATAGCTATAGGACTTTAAAAAGCGTTAACTTCAAGAGTCGCCATCATATATGCTGACGCTGTAAGCGGGTCTAAACAAAAGTAATGTGATTATCATAAGTGATCGAAGTCGATATCATATATTGGGACAATACTGGTCACCCAAAATAATCTGAGCTTAATGGAATCCGTTAACGTTTTCATACTAAAATAATAGGCCTACTTGAAAGATACAGTACAAGAAGCTAAAGTTTTGTTAGATTTCAAAAATGAGGGTAATTTCTGTTCTACACTGAGGGTAATTTCTGTATATCCGAAGATAACTGGTGGAGAGAGTAATTCAAAAGATTTTTAATTTATAATTATTTATTAACATTGGGCTATTTTCAGTTTTTAACCTTAGTAATCTTAGTTTAATGTGTTTAATAAACAATAAATTATGTTTCATTCTTAACCCGTGCGTTAAGAGGTAAAAAGTGTAGTTTGTGAACGGGCGCTGTAATTCTGCGTCTTCAACAGGAACGAAGTTAGTCCTAATGTACAGTAATAAACACTCAGTTATTAAAATAATGTTATTATAATCACCTGTTATCTGGCCAACACATTGTCCTGCTCCCTGTTAAAGAGTGAAGATAGATAGATAGATAGATAGATAGATAGATGTGTACAATACTAAACATTTCAAACACAGTAAAAAGAGCCGTATATAACAAATATATTTTATGTTCAGTGATTACTTTAACATGTTCACAACAAATTAAAATATTTTGGTTGAAGTTTCTCAGCACAGCTGCTTTTAAACTTGTTTAAAATAAAATATTTATGAGTTGTTCTTACATTTAACTTGTAATACATGTGTTTGGTGTGACTGACTATACCACTGACTTGTTTTAATGACTTGAATTGTTTAATTTCTTTTTTAGAAGCTGCCAAAGGACCAGACTTCCTCTATGCTCTGCAGCCATGTAATCCCAGCAGCTCTGCAGGTCTTATCAGCCTCGGCTGTGTCGCAGGCGGCTTCTCACCAGAGGATTTTTCGAGCTTTAGCTGGCAGGACAGCAGCGGTAACCAGCTGTCTGACATTTATCAGTACTCAGCGGACAAGAACAATAGAGTCGGCATGGTGGTCAGTGAGATCCGTGTCAATGCGGCAGACTGGGGTGGACAAGCTTATTACAAATGTGCTGCACGACACCAATCCACTGGAAAGAACCTATCTGAGACAATATACAAGCCAGGTAACATTGCTGTGTTTTCAAACTGAGATTATCTGATTCCCTGTGGAGCTTTATCTCTGCAGTGAACCAAAACTGAAATATGAAGTGGCTCTGACATTTTGCCTTTTTTATTTTTCTGTACTTTTAGTTTCACCAACATCCCCAACCGTGAGTCTCGTGACTCTGCCCAGCGGGGAGAGCCGTGTAGATGCTCTAATGTGTGTCATTCAGGACTTCTACCCCAAGAGCGTCAGTGTGACATGGAAAGCTGGGGACAGAACTGTCTCAGGACAGACCTGGGAGTCGGATAAAGGACAGCCAGTACTGTACTCAGCCAGCAGTTTGCTGAAACTGGACAACAGCGTCTGGGAGAGTGACACTGTGTACACATGTGAGGTGCAGCACAGTACTAATAAAACCACTAAGACCATCAGTAAAGGTGAGTGAGCTCACAGCACACAGATACTGTTAGAGAACATCTGATCTCAACATCAGCAGACCCATTCATAAATAATCTATTACTCCAGTTCATCAAATTATTCCTTCAGCTGCTTTAACTAAAGTATAATGTTTGTAAAAAAAATATGACATCAGTTCATCCATCCATCTTTCATCAGCAGTTATCCTTTACAAGATTACAGTGAACCTGGAGACCATGATAGGAAGTAGAGGGAACATGACAGGGAGCTGCCTGGGTGGGATGCAGGCTGGTCACAGGGGGTCAGTACACACTAACATACACTGAGGGCTATTTAGAGACACCATTACACCCAACCTCATGTGTCTGACTGTGGGAGAAAACCTGAGTAACCAGTGGAAACCCATGTGGACACGGGCAAAGCATGACAACTGCACACTTACAGAGTGTGAACAGGAATCACACCTAGAGGTGTGAGACTGTAGTCACTGTAATTAATGGCTTAATGTTGGCTAAAAACATCCTGGATTCCATTGCATTCTGGCAATAAAGTGCCTTTAGAATGTCTTTGTTCAAGATTTGAAGCTGGCTTTGATTGATACAGTCAGGCCCATAAATATTTGGACAGAGACAAAGTTTTTCAATTTCTAAGTTCTGTACGTTACCACAATAAATTTTAAAAGAAACAAGTCAGATGCAGTTGAAGTGCAGACTTTTAATTCAGTGGGTAGAACAAAAACATTGCATAAAAATGTGGGGAACTAAAGTAATTTTTCTACACAATCCCCTCCTTTCAGGGGCTCATAAATAATTGGACAAATTAATATAACTGTAAATAAAATGTTCAGTTCTAATACTTAGTTGAAAACCCTTTGCAGGCAATGACTGCCTGAAGTGTTGAACTCATGGACACGACCAGACGCTGGGTTTCCTCCTTTTTAAAGCTCTGCCTGGCCTTTACTGCAGCAGCTTTCAGTTGCTGTTTGTTTGAGGGTCTTTCTGTCTGTAGTTTAGTCTTTAGCAAGTGAAATGCATACTCAATGGGGTTGAGATCAGGTGACTGACTTGGCCATTTGAGAATATTCCACTTCTTTGCTTTAATAAAGTCCCTGGTTGCTTTAGCTGTGTGTTTTGGGTCATTGTCCATCTGTATTTTGAAACGCCGCCAAATCAATTTGCCTGCATTTGGCTGGATTTGAGCAGACATGATGTCTCTGAACACCTCAGCATTCATTCGGCTGCTTCCATCCTGTGTCACATCATCAAGAAACACTAAAGACCCAGTGCCACTGGCAGCCACTGGCAGCCATGCACGCCCAAGCCATCACACTGCCTCCACCATGTTTTACAGATGATGTGGTGTTCTTTGGATCATAAGCTGTTCCAGCCCTTCTCCATACTTTTTTCTTTCCATCATCGTGATACAGGTTGATCTTGGTTTCATCTGTCTAAAGAATGCTGTTCCAGAACTGTGCTGGCTTTTTTAGATGTATTTTTGCAAAGTCCAATCTAGCTTTTCTATCCTTAAGGCTTATGAGTGGCTTGCATCTTGCAGTGAACCCTCTGTATTTGCTTTCATGCAGTCTTCCCTTTATGTTAGACTTGGACATTGATACGCCTGCCTCCTGGAGAGTGTTGTTCACTTGGTTGGCTGTTACGAAGGGGTTTCTCTTCAGCATGGAAATGATTCTGCGATCATCCACCACTGTTTCTCTCAGGATGTACCAAACTGTGGATTTAGCCACTCCTAATGTTGTGGCAATTTCTCGAATTGTTTTTTCTGTTTTTCTCTGCCTAAGGATGGCCTGTTTCACCTGCATACTGAGGTCCTTTGTTCGCATATTGTATGTTCACACCTCAATCTTACAAATGCAAACAAGACACCTCAAATCAACTCCAGGCCTTTTATCTGCTTAATCGATAATGAAAGAACAAAGAAATCGCTCACACCTGTCCATGAAATAGCTTTTAAGTGAATTGTCCAATTACTTTTGGCCCCTTTAAAAAGAGCGTGGCACATGTTAACGAGCTGAAACTCCTAAACCCTTCATCCAATTTGAATGTGGATCCCCTAAAATGAAATCTGAGAGTCTGCACTTTATGTCCATGCCAATTGTATAACTAATTGGAATATATTTCAGTAAACAGGTAAAATAGTAAAGTGTCCAAATATTTATGGTCCTGACCGTATGAATAGTGTCTGAAGATCAGTCTGGCTGAATGACTGAGTACTTGAAACTGGCCTCCATGGCTCCTGTTGCTGCTCGTCTTATATGTTCATCTGTTTCTCTCTCTCTTCCTCTCCCAGCTCTGTCCAGTAGGTCCTGTTTGGATGTGACCCTGAAGCCCCCAAGAGTAAAAGAGATGTTCATAGATAACAGGGCTGTGCTGGAATGCATCATCACAGGAGAGGATAAGGCAGTAAAAGAAGCTGAAGTGACCTGGATGCTGGACAGTGTACAGGAGACAGATAAGATTACACAGACCGGCCCAGAAAAGGCAGATCATCTCTTCAGAAAGAGCAGCATCCTGACTCTGGCAGTGAATGACTGGGAAGGTGGCAAAACAGTGAAGTGCAGTGTGCAGCAGAAGGGTGGTCCTACTATCACTAAGACCCTCAGTTTTGGGCAAAAAGGTATATTTCAAACTGTTAAAACCATGAATTGATTTTTTTAAATTTAATTCAGAGATGTAAAGAAAACTCACCTATATGTTTTTAACAATTAATTTCAGGTACGACGACACCTACAGTCTCCATCCAAACACCATCTCCTGAAGACCTTAATGGAAAAAGTGAATTCTTCCTGCTCTGCCTGGTAACAGGCTTCTATCCTAAAGAAATATATATCATGTGGCAAGTAAATGAGGGGGAGTATGAGGAGGGTATTACTGGAGAGCCAGTTCAGACTGGGGATAAATACTCTGTCACCAGTCTGTTTAGGGTCTCAAAAGTGGACTGGGACAAAGGCACCAAATACAACTGCAACGCCAGACACGCATATCAGAAGGGAGTCGAGATACCTGCATTGAAACCTATGTCCAAATCAAAGGGTAATTCACTGGAATGTCCTGTATGTGATGAATGTCCTGTATGAATAATAATCGATTATTTGTAGATGCCACTGAGTTTCCTTACACTGCATAGTCACTGTTATCTCATGTGGACACAGGAAGGTCAGTGTAGTTTTACGTTAGACATTCTAATCTTCAGCTTTTTCAGGAAGTCTGCACTCATAGTTTTGTTCACACAGCATGACAAACTCCTGCTTTGCTCACCTTCTGTATTTTGCATTTCGTCTTTTTCCCATGTTGTCCTATGTTGTTGTACTATGTGAAAAATCATTGTCTCATGTTTATAATCATGTTTATAATCCTGTTTTATAAAGCAGGAGTATTATTAGTATTCATCACAATCCTTGTAAAGCAGACTAATAATGGATGTAATATTAGTCTGATTAATTTTTTTTAGCTTTTTGCCTGAGCATTAAAATGCTATATGCTTTTTGAAATTTGGAAAATACATTTTTTTGATGAACATCTTGAACAACTGAGACAAAAGTGTTTTTGTCTGATCTCTGTTAACATTGTTTATGGTTTCCTGTGATGTCATTCTGTCATATCTGAGTGACATGTTCCTCCTCCTGATGTTCACTGTGTCTGTCTCTGTCCATAATGATGTCATCATTCGTCTGCTGCCAGTGTTACGGCTTATTGTCTCACTGCTTGGAGATGCAAATCTCAGATGGCCTGAAGGTCCTTTNAACTTTTAGAGATTATCCTGATAATCTGTGAGTCTTTGTTTTTTCTACATTAGCATTTAAACCAGTAGTAAAACAAACAAGCAAGCAAATAAATAAAATAAGGCTATTAAGCCCAGGTTTTCCTATTGTTCATTTAAAAAAATCATATATTTCAGGTATGAGTAAATCTAAGGACTGTGCCTCTACTGAAAAACTGTAAATCTGATCTCAATAATACCCAAAACATCATTAGGTTTGGCCTTATTCATGTTCATTTTTCATTAAGAAATGTAATAAAACAGGTCTTCTCAAAGAAAAAATGTAGATTATATGGTTACAGTGTGAATGGTGACTGTAGCATATAACAGACAAATAACAGAAAGTTACAAGGGAGCTCAGTTATTGTACGAGTTTGTATCACCGTGATATGGGGTGGCACGATGATGCGGACTCGTACAAAAACCTTACTGTCACACTGAAGGTTACAATATAGGCTAGTTAATGCGAATTGGAGGGACATCTGTTTTATTTTAAACTACTTGTATTACATTTTATGAATGATTCTGTCATTCATTGGTACGTGCGTTTGATTGCTTAAGATAACATATATTTCATTTATTTATTTTTTCTGCCGATGTTTTCACATCAGCTTTTTATTGCATGCATGTTATTGTCCGGGTAGCATAATGTAATGAATCACTGTGATGCTTTCGACTACTGGGGAAAAGGCACCAAAGTCACTGTCGGTAAGTCCTCTCCGTCTCACCCCACTTTACTTATTCCTTTTTAAATATCTGTATTTTTCTTTATTTACTTAGTATAAATAAAGTTTCACTTGAGTGATTAGTTTTCCTCTGTTTACTTTGCTAGATATATAATCCCCCGCAAACTGATCGTTGTGGCTCTTTTAGTGTCTGTGGTCTATTGTGTAAAAACCTCGTCAAACTTGCTCGATATCAAATTGGTATGGCATTATAAACTAAAGTGGTTTAAAATTAATCGGAAAACTGCATGTGTCCGTAACCGGTCGAGCTCCTGCTTCGACACTTCAGTCATACTTTTGAGATGTATTTTTAGTAGTGCAAACGCGAAATTATTTTAGCGTAAACCGCTGAGAAATTATTAATAGAATATTGTACTTTAGTCACTGCATTAAATGAAAAACGGGCACTGTATTATAAAGTACTGTAAACCAAGGATGAAATTGTACCTTGTAATTTCATTCGAAATTATGTTTAAATTAGGGTAAACCGAGTTCAATTGCCACACATTTTAGATTTTACATAAATTATTACACCTCTCACCCTCATTGTGATCTGTCTTGTGTGCTGTTGTGTGTTATGCTGCACATATGGTCATGGAGAACGCGAAAACATCATACAAAAACATCAGATTTTTAACTTAATTGTTTCTTCCGTCCGTTTTTAAAATCAAGGTGAATATTTTTGAGTACCGATTTATTTTTTCTACAATAACTGTTTAAAGACCCGGTACTTTAGTTAGCCTAAATCTGTCCTCATGCTTGAGACAGTTTACTAAAACTGTATACGTACAACTGGATAGTTGTAACGTCCATAGGTTATAATGTAGGCTAAATAAACCCCTAATGCAGTGAAGTTAATTCTTTTTGACAATATTTAGCAATTTTGCTATTAGTTGACGAATTCTTCTTTGAAAATGAAACAAGTATTTGATTTTAGTATTCTTTAAATACGTATTTGTCTAGAATTAACAAAATTCCTTGCTATTTAAAAATACAAAAATAAATAAAACAATAAGACAAGATAAAACAATTTTCACTAAGTACATTGCATGTTTAATAGAAATCCTGTTTGCATTGTCCTGGGCTTATGAGAGGTACAGTACGTAATTTCGCGGGACTCCGTGGCGTCTGTTTCCAGTGAGACTGCAGCTGCTCCCCGCCGACCACCGCGCACACTGGTCTGATCGAATTTCCCAAAAACGCTACGCTGCTATTTAAAAAAAAAAACTTTAAGTAGACAAATCGACAATTATAAAACACGTTTAACGACACTGTCGAGTAAGATCAAAGATAAATTCATAAGGAAAGCAGAGTCAAAAAAATGAAAATCTTGTTCAATATCCACACACTTAGAAAGCCTGTTACCGCTCCTGCATAGATGTAATAACGCAAATGAGATATTTAACGTGTTATAACTGTCCCAGCGTTAGAACTGTACGCAAGCTGCCCTAATTTATGCGGAAAATTATTTGAATGTAGTTTGTTCTGGTCCTGGAGGACATGAGTCACCGAAAATGTGTGATTCCAATAGGAGCTTGTGCTAAAATTATATACCGGCGGGTTTCTTCCAGCTATTAATGTTTCATTCAAAATAAATAGGCCTAATACTCAGAAGAAGGGGAGCCGCTGGAGATTTTGGGCCCCATGAAAGCGTATTATATTGGGCCCCCAGCCCAAATCAATCAGATTATGTTCCAAATGTCTTAGGGCCGCAGTCACTCGGGGGGCCTTGGAATCACCCTAACTGTCCCCTGCTTTACAGCACCGCTGCTCAGAAGGATTTGTGCTCATGTGTAATGTTCTTAGGTTCTTTGTGCTTGTAAATTAGTTAGATTTGTGTCTTGTATGAACATTTAGTGCAGTGAGGATTAAAATATTTTGAACGCCGTAAACTGTTGTATAGCAGGGAGATTGAAAATAGCAATTATATCCCTGTAAAAAGATCCCAGGTTTGTGCGTTATTGCTATTAATCACAACATATGTATGTTTTTCTTATTAGCTGTTTTCATATAATGAAAATATATACTTTGTAATCATCTAAGAATCGTATTCAAGCAGTAGATGAAAAGTATCCCAGTTAATTAAAAGTCAGTGTAGATTTCAATATAAAAAAGATTGAAAATATTGGTAAATATATCTGTTGGAACCCATACATGAATAATATAATGGGTAATATGCTGTGTTTGTGATACTGAAAATAAGAAATGTAACTAATAATCATCAACATGCGTTATGTCTGATGCATCGCAAGTTAAATTTTTCTGTTATCCTGGTAATACTGCACTCTCAAAGTTTCATTAAAAACATAATAACTATTTTCTCCAAATCTCAGTTTATGCTTCAGTTGCATATTTCTTATTTTTATCCTCAGTATAATATAAATTTGACCAATCAATGGACAGCATGTTTTGCAAGAGGGAGAACACAGCAGGTTATAATATTTAGCTTTAGGTAGCTACTGCAGGGACATTGAAATAAAGTTAGACAGAGAATCATATAACAAACATAAGATACATTTATATTTGAATTAGTAATTATTTTGATGGTTAAGCAGAAAATTATTTTTGTGAATGTTTTTTTTTAATCACGAGACAGAATCTCTATACACCAGCAGTAGAGTTTACTGGCTTACAAAAGCTAAGTTAAAGAATGGCGTCATCTGTACAGTATATAAGAGAATGAAATGTCGTTCAATAAAGCATAATTTTTATTACAGCTGTAACACTTAAAAAAAAACCATGATATATAACATATTTTTTTTCCTTAATATATTTTTCCAGTAGGGACTAACACTGCATGATATTGGGAAAAATAAAAATATTTTTGAATTTTTTTCTTTGTATAAATCGCAAATTTGCAATATTTATGAAGTTGCCCAAAATAAACTACAGCCAAATAGAATGTGTTATTATCTACCAATAGAGTCTGTCTGATAAGTTAGTGGTGTCGACACAGAACAGTGCCCACAAATCATTTGGTTTTGCTCAGTATTGTCTCTAAAAGAATCAAAAATATTTCCATACAGTGAAATGAGAATGTCTTTTGGTCATCATTCCTGGTTTATTTTTATCCTCCTTATGTACTTTCTTAAATTTCTCACAAATGGTCCACACTTTCCCTGATTTTGTAACATATACTAGGGATTAGCATATACAAACATATACAAATGTAACATATACAAATGATTTCTAATCCAACATATACAGTATATACCACTAAAATACTGTATTGTTGTACTGTGTCCCTGATGTATCCACCCCAAGAAATTCCTTTTAGCCCCTCTCACCCTCATTGTGATCTGTCTTGAGTGTTGTTTTGTGTTATGCTGCACATTTGGTCATGGAGAACGATATTTCATCTCACTGTATACTTATTGTATATTGTTGGGATGACAATAAAGCTCTACTTACTTAGAAAATCTTGAAAAGGAACAACCATTAAAATAGCAAAGCTTGCTAAAATTGGCAAAGTAAAAATGTTTTAACAAAAGTTACAAATGTGAGCTTGGACGATATGATGGTATGAAAAAAATTAATTATCATCCAAGCCAGTATTCGATATTAACATCCCTCATCCTGCAGGCTCAGTTCCCAGTAACAGCTAACAATGTCTAATGACTGGTACATTTCTTTTCTTAGGTGCTGAGCAGCCATCTTACATTTACCCCCTTCACCAATGTGGGTCTGCAGACTCTCGTGGTGACATCAGCCTCGGATGCATTGCCAGCGGTTTTTCACCCCTGGATGCCTTGAGCTTTAAGTGGAGTGACAGTAACGGTAACGTGCTGCCTGACTTCCATCAATACTCACCGGTCATGGTCAGTGGAAGCACCATGATGGTCAGTCACATCAATGTCAAAGCGGCAGACTGGAACAGTCAGAAATCTTACACATGTGCTGCACATCACCAGAACCTTGGACCTGAGAAGTCAGAGATATTACAGAAGCCAGGTATTGTGATAAAATTATTTATTCTTCTGAAGTCTAGGAATATAGTTGAGTTACATTTAAGCTAGTTTTGCAGTATTGAAATTGTCAAATTAAAGCTAACTTGTATTATTGAATCATTATTGTAGGCATATGGCTGCGTTTTCAGAAGTTTGATTTATTTTGTAGTTTATCAGAAAAATTTCTTTGAAACATTTGTAATCCATGATAAATGAAGATGGGTGGCATGGTGGTGCAATGGTTAGTACTGTTGTTTCCCACCTCTGAGACCTGGATTCGAGTGTCTGCTACGGCTTTGTGTGTGGAGTTTGCATGTTCTTCCCGTGTTGTTGTGGGGTTTCCTCCAGGTACTCTGGTTTTCCCCACACAATCCGAAAACAGGCTGAGGTTGATCAGAGTTACCAAATTGCCCAGAGGTGTGAGTGTGCCCTGTGATAGGTCAGAGCCCCGAGCCCTGTGATGGGTCGGAGCCCCGTGCCCTGTGAATAGGTTGGAGCCCTGTCCTGTGATAGGTTGGAGCCCTGTCCTGTGATAGGTTGGAGCCCTGTCCTGTGATAGGTTGGAGCCCTGTCCTGGGTTTTGCCCATAGGCCCCAGACCCTCTGTGACCCTGAATAGGATGAGTAGTTACCAAAAATGGATGTATGGATAAATGAAGAAATGCATGTATTATATAGTTAGTGGCAGCTCAGGCCACTAGATCAGGCCATATAGATGGCAGCCCAGCATTTTATATAAGGTACTGTTTTCAGTTACACCACAAAACTGCAGTTTGATCCTTTACCCTGTTTTTGAATTATTCTCTATAAATGATGCAGGAAATGTATCACAACACACCCATGTAAAGCACTTTGGGGTGACTCTGTTGTGAAAGGTACTATATAAAATTTAATTGAATTGAATTGAAAACAAACCATAACTGAATGAAGTCACTGATTTTCTGTTTTTTTTTAATCCATTTCAGACTCATCAAACAGAGGTAAGCACTAATGTAGAGGAAATAGACTTGTGTCTCCAAATCATAGAAATCTAGAAGTCATTCACATTTGTAACATTGTACAATGACTGACTCATAAAAATATTTTATTTAATGATGAAATTCAGAGATGTAAAGAAAACTTATCAATATGCTTTAAACAACTGGTTTCAGGTACGAAGACGACTCCTTCAGTCTCCATCCCAACACCAACTCCTGAAGACCTTAATGGAAAAAGTAAATTCTTCCTGCTCTGCCTGGTAACAGGCTTCTATCCTGAGAAAATAAAAGTCACGTGGCAAGTAGATGGGGGGAAGTATGAGGATGGTATTACTGGAGAGCCACTGGGGACTGGGGATGAATCCTCTGTCATTAGTCAGTTTAAGGTCTCAAAAGAGGACTGGGACAAAGGCAACATGTACAGCTGCAACGCCAGACAGGCATCTCAGGAGGGAAGGCTAGTACCTTCAATGAGAACTGTGTCCAAATCAACGAGTAATTCACTGGAATGTCCTGTACGTGAATGTTCTATATGAATAATAATGGCTTATTTGTAGATGCCACTGCATAGTCACTGTTATCTCATGTGACACAGGAAGGTCAGTGTAGTTTTACGTTAGACATTCTAATGCTGGTTATAAACTTCAGCTTTTTCAGGAAGTCCACACTCATAGTTTTCTTTCACACAGCATGACAAACCCCTGCTTTGCTCACCTTCTGTATTTTGCGTTTGGTCTTTTTCCCATGTTGTCCTTTTTTGTTATAGTATGTGAAAAATCATTGTCTCATGTTTATAAAGCAAGATTAGTGAAGTATTATTAGTATTCAAAAAGATCACTGTAAAGCAGACTAATAATGGATGTAATATTAATCTGATTTTAATTTTTCTTAACTTTTTGTTTATATTCTGAAATGTATCAATCCATACATTATACAACTTTGGAGTTTTAAAATGCTATATGCTTTTTGAAATTTGTAAGTTAATATTTTTGATGAACATCCTGAACAACTGAGACAAAAGTGAGCAGATTTTGTCTGATCTCTGTTAACATTGTTTATGGTTTCCTGTGATGTCATTCTGTCATATTTTAGTCACATGTTCCTCCTCCTGATGTTCACTGTGTCTGTCTCTGTCCATAATGATGTCATCATTCGTCTGCTGCCAGTGTTACGGCTTATTGTCTCATTGCTCAGAGATGCAAATCTCAGATGTCCTGAAGGTCCTCTTAAACCACCTCCTGTCACTGGAATGCTGTGAATCTCCTGTGTGGCATTTATAGAAACATTAATAAAAGTTACTGCATATGACATTAGAGTCAGCCATTAATTCCATTAAGCAGGAGGGGGGGGGTTGACATTCATTTCTCTCCAATTTAACTCCATGTTCTATTTATGTCTTTAATGAGGAGAAAGTGCACTTAGACACAGCACAAGGCCACACAATAATGTGTCACTGTAATTATTCATGCTTTTCAGGTTTACATGACAGAGATCATTCTAGCGCTACTATCAACCTAAACGTAATATATAGATAGCATTTAATGCTCCCATGTCAGTAATTTGTACCGTACATGGTACACTCAAACCACACATGTACCAAGGAAACAATAGTATATATGAATTATACCATTGTCTCTCATATCAGTATTTAAGTGCTACATGCCAGCACAGTACAGCTGTCAGGTGACCAGGGCTGCTACTGTCATTTCATTCTGAAATATTTACCACTGCTGATGATTGGTTGTCATCGTCTTTTTAAATGTTCTGCTTTAATGTCAAGCTTTCTGTTACAAACTAATATATTTATGCAAGTCATCAAATTAGCTTTGTTAAATCAGATTCACTGGCAACATGAATATTAGCTACACTATAACATTACAGCAACAATAACAATGCTGTGTGACTGTGTGAGTGTCTCAGGGCTGCTGCTGTGTGTGTCATGGTTTTGTGTGTCTAACTAACAGGGCCTGTTTGTTACAAAGAGACTGGTTATGAAGAAGGTAAAACACGACTAAGGATACAGCAGGCTGAAGGTCACTGGTAGATATAGGGAGTTTGTTTAGGTCTTACTCTGTAACTGTATGAGTTGTGCTTGCAGTTCATGACTGGGATAGAGTGGATATGACACTGTGTGTGACTGTGTGTGTGTGTCTACATGAGAAGTGTAAGAGGTGAATCTCTGAGGCTGTGCAGAGTGTCTCTGTGTGCATGTGTGCGCGTGTGTGTGTGTGTGTGTGTCTGTGTTTGTGTATGTATGTGTGTGTGTATATGTATGCGTGTGTGTGTGTGTGTCTGTAAGGGTCAGACTGTGATATACTGTGTGGACAGTGAGAGGCTCTACCTGCTGTGTGACTCTGTTGTTTCTCCTCAGTCTCCCCCGCAGAAAAAGAGTCAGACATACAATCTGCATTCAGCTGTAATGAGGGAGGTGAGGAAGAGGATGAGTTCAGCAGCCTGTGGTCCACAGCCTTCTCCGTCATCATCCTCTTCCTCTTCAGCCTGGTCTACAGTGCTTTTCTCAGCCTCATCAAGGTAAATCCACATTTAGTGTGTTTCAGATGTCAAAACATTTTAATGTAGAATCTGATCCAATTCATTGAAAAGTTAATTGTGCTATATATTAATACAATATACAGTCCCTATTACCTTGTGTGTTTTATGAGTCTGACCATCTATCTTAGAAAAGCCTCTTTAGCAGTTAGACCGGCAGAGATGATGGAGTCTCAGGAAGCACAGAGCACAGCACAGGGCCACACAGCACAGAGCACAGCACAGGGCCACACAGCACAGAGCCACATAGCACAGAGCACAGCCTGTTCACAGCAGCAAATGAAAACTGATATAATTACATTGTTATATTTATAATTATGAGCTGGTCAACTATCAAAAAAAGTTATCAAAAAACATTTTTACTCTAATTCTTAATCTTTTTGAAACTTATTCTTGTGTTTTTCAGGCAAAGCAGTGATTTTAACTTCGGGGAAAAGAAAGAAAAAAAGGCGAGAAACAATATCAGTTATTATACAGATACTTTTCCTTTATCTGGCTGCTTATGTATTGATGATAATGTTTGCTGCATGTCTTCTGAATCTGTATTCTCTATGTAGAAAATTATGAATTATGTGTTATTAAGTTTGTTACTGTCTGTTTTATTTAAAGCTGATGCATTAAATTCTCACCCATGGGTTGTTAAAATACTTTTTTTCAATTAATTCAATTTATTTTAGTGTTAAATTTCATGTGGTTTGTAATTGAGTTCTTCTTTCTTTGGTTGGATTAAATAAATGCAACAAAATACATATGCAGTCAGGATGAATGTCAACATTTAAAAAAGAGTGGATAGCAGCTGAAATGTAAGCAGCTAAATTGTATACTCACATTTACGCAACGTAAAATTGCACCATAATATTTCCTTTGAATTTTTTTCTTCTTCTACATTAGTTAGTCTCCATGCTAATTTTTCTTAAAATGTCTGAAATGCTAATTATTGTCTTTTTTTAGTTGAAATATTTCTGTATTCAATGTGTCTATACAAATTTATCTACAAATAAAACTTTGTTGGTACAAACTGTTATGTTTCATTCTTTGGTTAAATTAAATAAATGCTGCAAAATATATATGCAGTCAGGGTTAATGTCTATATACATTTAAAAAATAGTGGATAGCAGCTAAAATGTATATTCACATTTACATTATTTAATTTTGCACCTTAATATTCCTTTTATTTTACTTTCTTATACTGCAGTAGTTAGTGCAGTAATCTCAATGGTACTAACTTTTTAATGTCTGAAAGTCTAATGTCCTTTTTCAGTTGAAATATTTCTGTACTCAGTGTCTCTATACAAATTTATCTACAAATAAAACTTTGTTAGTAAAAACTGTCACCACATCTCCTCCAGCTTCTTGCAGACTGACTTATTAATCCCGAAGCTCTTTATTTTTCCCATATTTGCACCTCATGCCTCTTCGAAACACATGAACCTCCTATTAAAGAGAAGCTAATTAGAAATTAAACAGTTAGATTATGAGCATAATAAAATAATCATGATATAAACTGTAATTCTGGGCAGTTAGCGCTTGGCTAAGCAGAGTCACCGGTTTGCATAAATCACAGGGGAGCTGCGGTTATGGTGTCTGTACTAAAGCAGCCAAATACCGGCTACAGCCCCCCTGCACCTGCATCTCTGAAACTGTGTGGCAAAGTGCAGTTTAACAGACTTCCTGGAAAGACCATCAGAGACTCACAATAAAATCATGTTTATATCAAATACACACTAAATAAATATACACAGGTATTTGCATGAGGATCAAATACAGCTGGAATCAGTAAATATATATACTCTATGTTCTGTCAGCATATAGGTTACATTTGTGAAAAAAAATACATTTTATTTGCTAAATAGAACAATAATGGACCTTTTATAATTTTCATTAAAAATATAATTTTTTACTCATTAAGTGTTGTCCATGTTTTGTCTTCTTGATTAAATTAAGCCTGTGTAATGAAAGTATTCATACATTCCCCTACTGCTCAACACAGCAAAATTACTGAAAGTTACACTGAAATGCAAATAAAAATTGTACTTTGAAAAGTCTGTAAAATATGTTCTCATGTTTAATGCAGTCATTACTCACAAAAAGGTCACTGGAGCATTTCTTCCTAGTAAATCACAGGTGCATTGTGGGTGATGATTCTGTACTGAAATAGAATAACACAGGGTGCAGTTTCCTCTCCCCTCCCCACACCTGCATCTCTGAAACTATCTAACAACCAGCATGCAGTGTGACAGACTTCCTGGAAAGACCAATCCTGTAATCCAGTAACCCGCACTGTACAGCATACAGCGATATCTACACTACCGTTCAAAAGTTTGGGGTCACTTAGAAATTTCCTTATTTCCAAAAGAAAAGCAATTTTTGGTCCATTAAAATGAATTATGTTAATCAGAAGTGCAGTGTAGATATTGTTAATGTTGTAAATGACTATTGCAGCTGGAAACAGCTGATTTTGAATGTAATATCTACATTGGTATACAGAGATATCCCATATCAGTCTGGTGCCCCAAAGACACGTTGTGTTTGCTAGTCCAAGTTCATTATTTCAAAAGGAAAATCTGATCAATATAAATATCTTTTGAAATTATGTTACCACAACTGAAAACTGTTCTGCTGATTACAGAAGCAATAAAACTGGCCTTCCTTAGATTACTTGAGTATCTAGAGCATCAGCAAATTGTGGGTTCGATTAAAGACTCAAAAAGGCCGGAAACAAATGGAACTCATCAGTCTGTTCTTATTCTGAGGAATGAAGGCTATTCCATGGGAAATTTCGTAGGGACCCCTAACTTTTGAACGCTAGTGTGTGTGACACTTTTAAACAGACCTGCTTAGTAATGAGGGCCTCACCATTAGTCTGTTAGCTCTCTGATTTGCACTAAAATCACCGTCCTCCCGACAGCGATGAAGCTCTATATTTGCATGTGTCTCTCAGTGTTATTTGCCTATGGGGGCACAAAAAGCCCCCCCTGGGATCATTAATGACAGGTGTGCTTTCTTTCTGAGTGGAGGGGTGGCTAAAATACTCAGACTGGTCATACTGGGTAAGCTGTTCATTGTGGGTGGGGAAGAAAAACTAAAGTGGTGAGGAGTGAGATCTCTCTGAATTTGTGTACATTATGTACTTTTAGTATATTTATATAATTGGCAGTGGGCCAGATTTTCCTGAGGAAAATGTTTGTGTTGATTTGATTTCAGCTTCCAGACAGAAATCTTATTGCATTCCTATATATCTTATGTCCCAGATATAAGTGCAGGGGTGGATTCATGCATAGGCTACAGCAGGGTACACTCAGGGATGGGGTGGGGATGGTTTTCATGAATGGGGGGACGAGGTGCAGGGATGGAGGGCGATGGGAATACCACCTGGGAAATTCAGGGCCCGTGCCTTAAAAATCAAGGCCCCACCCCACACTTTCAATCAGACAATTCATCAACACCCCCCTCCCCTCCCCCCGCACCGACCAGCAAACCGCCGGCACCCACATACTGATTAGCTGGTTACTGACTATGCATCATTTTCAGTTTTCTCTAGTTTATTTTGCTGCTCCAAAGAAAGTTCATGTGTCCTGCTTGGGTCATGTCAGCCTCGGGCCCCCAGAGAAGTTCATCCATCATTTTATCTGTGTACATTTACAGTTACACATGGTCTCAAACTGGCAATGGCTGAAATAATCTTATAATTCATGGTTTTTACATGAAATAAAGATCCAGAGATGCCAAACTGCACAGCTATTTATTGTCATAAATATGAATTTGAAATAAACATGCTTCTCTGCTTTAATATTAAAATAATTACATTTATTGTAATTTACAATATTACTGTGCTTGCGGCAATATTCTTTGCCTCCACGTGCTCTGCATTCTACGTCTTTTAACAGTGAGACATTCATTGTGCAGATTAATTACCTGGGATTCTGTCTTTGGCTCAGCGAAACGTAAACGGAAATAGTTTTGACAAAACTAGATCCGGACACTAAGTCATATGAATCAGTGAAGTTGTGCTATGAAAACTTCAGAAATGGCTATTAGGCTCCATCTAGTGGTAAATATGTTACTGCAGAAATAAATCAGCTGGCAGAGATAAGACCATTTAGTTTGTCAGGCAACTAATACGTGAAATTATTAGGGCTGTAATATTTGTCTCATACTCGGCCATTGGACTCGGCAGATATTTTAGTTGGTCTTGACCTAGCTATCACTCTCACCTATCCGCTACCTTTTTTTCTATTCTATGTATACAGTATATTGTTAAATTCATTCTTATGTATTGTGTGCACTTTTTATATTGTTGGCACTTTTTATATTG